CCAGTGGGTCTAAAACTGACCATATGATGAAAACAAACTAAAAGCGGTTGTTTTCATTAATTTGAACATAGGATATATATATATATATATATATATATATATATATATATATATATATATATATATATATTTATATTTTTTTTAGGTACAAAATTTAATGATCGAAATAAAAGTGTAAAATTTAATATTACAAGACATATTAAAACAATATTAAATAATAAAAAAAAAACTCAACAACAAGGGGGGGAAGCAACCGGTTTCGCTCCCGCTCGTCAGGCTTCCGCTGGAGATTCAAAATTAAAACAGAAATGTACAAATGAAACCGGTTGCTTCCCCCCGCCCTTGTTGTTGAGTTTTTTTAATTATTTAATATTGTTTTAATATGTCTTGTAATATTAAATTTTACACTTTTATTTCGATCATATATATATATATATATATATATAAATATATATATATATATAAATATATCTGTGTGTGTGTGTAAAATATTAAAAAACGGAAAGATTTATCACTTACGCACCCGCTACCATGGTTTCAACCATTGTCAGTCAGGCGGTAGATGCTAGTTAATCTTCTAACGCTTTATCTGCTTATTTTATGTGCGTGCAACAGGAAGTGCGATAGAAGAGGAGGAGTGAGGCAAGACTGAGGAAATATGTTGGGATGTGGAATGGAGAGAGACAAAATATATACTGGATGGTGTTTGCAAAAGAGAAGGAGTGGTTTACAAAGCGGAAGTGAAGGATGTAAATGGCCAGAGCAAGATATATATGGGATGCACTGAATGTACCTTCAAGAAGTGATGGTACAATATTTTGTCATTTAGGACTTCAATGGGTTTTTGGGATTGTGTACAGAGCACTTTTTAATATAACCGTTCCGTGGTCGGATTCAACTCTGACCAACAACCATTTATATATATATATATATATATTATATAAAAGAAATATGTTGTAGTGGTTCCAACGAGAGAAAAGTATGTATATTAAAAAAGAAGAGGGGTGCCGCAAACGTTTTTTTATTGTAATGTGGATTTATTGAGAAAAATATTATACTTTTGTTTTACATAATTTCATATGTATATATATATATATATATATATATATATATATATATATATATATATATATAATGTTATTTTATGAACGTAATTTTTAGATATACACGTGTCTGAGTTGCGAATCATGTTTTAAATTTTCTTAAACTCTGAAACTCTAACAAATGGCCTGGATCTAGTCATAGCAATCAAACGCGTGTAGTCAGCAAAATAAGGGTCACAGTAAGAAGACATAATGTCAGATTTCAAATCCATTTAAAAACCCACACACATATATATATATATATATATATATAGATAGATAGATAGATAAATAAAGAGACAGATATGATTTCTGTATTTTTCTTAAAATTTTATATATATATATATATATATATATATATATATATATATAGATAGATAGATAAAGAGACAGATATGATTTCTGTATTTTTTTTAAATTTATATATATATATATATATATATATATATATAGATAGATAAAGAGACAGATATGATTTCTGTATTTTCTTAAAATTTTATATATATATATATATATATAGATAGATAAAGAGACAGATATGATTTCTGTATTTTTTAAATTTATATATATATATATATATATATATATATATATATATATATATATATATATATATATATATATATAGATAGATAAAGAGACAGATATGACGCTTTATTTTTTTAAATTTATATATATATATATATATATATATATAGATAGATAAAGAGACAGATATGATTTCTGTATTTTTTTCTTAAAATTTTATATATATATATATATATATATAGATAGATAAATTTTGACAGATATGATTTCTGTATTTTTCTTAAAATTTTATATATATATATATATATATATATATATAATAGATAAAGAGACAGATATGATTTCTGTATTAGTTCTTTAAATTTTATATATATATATATATATATATATATATATTGATAGATAAAGAGACAGATATGATTTCTTTATTTTTCTTTAAATTTTATATATATATATATATATATATATATATATATAGATAGATAAAGAGAAAGATATGATTTCTGTATTTTTCTTAAAATTTTATATATATATATATATATATATATATAAATAGATAAAGAGACAGATATGATTTCTGTATTTTTCTTAAAATTTTATATATATATATATATATATATATATATATATATATTTATTAGCATTAATAATAATAATTTATATATGCATATATATAGAGATAGATATGATTTATATTTCTTTGCTTAAAATGTTATATATGATTATTATTGATAATAATTACTATATATTTCGATATATATAAATATATACATATATATAGATAGATAAAGAGACAGATATGATTTCTGTATTTTTTTTTAAAATTTTATATATATATATATATATATATATATATATATATATTATTAGCATTAATAATAATAATTATATATGCATATATATACAGAGATAGATATGATTTATTTTCTTTACTCATTAAAATGTTATATATGATTAATTATTGATAATAATTATTATATATTTAAATATATATATATATATATATATATATATATTAGCATTAATAATAATAATATATATGCATATATATAGAGAGATAGATATGATTTATATTTCTTTACTTAAAATGTTATATATGATTATTATTGATAATAATTATTATATATTTAAATATATATATATATATGTATATATATATATATATATATTTTATATAAATATAATTATATATGTATATATATATAGAGATAGATATGATTTATATTTCTTTACTTAAAATGTTATATATTATTATTATTATTGATAATAATTATTATATTTTAAATATATATATATATATATACATATATATATATATATATATATGAATTGTATATTTCTTTTCGTAACATGTTATATATATAAGATTATTATTATTAATTATATTTCTATACATATATATGTAGATAGATAGAAAGATAGATAGATTTGATATGTATATTTCTTTTTTTTAATATGTTATATATATACATATATAAGATTATTATTATTAATAATATTTATTATATATATATGTAAATAAATAGAATGATTTGATATGTATATTTTTTTTTTATGTTATATATATATATATATATATATATATATATATATATATATATATATATATATATAAATATTATATTGAAAATTAATAATTATATTATATATATTCTCAAATCGGAAGGAATCATATACAGCAATGATGCCTTAGCCCTCTTCAAAGCACTCCCTTTGAAAACTCACACACTCATTCCAGCAAGAAAGCGATAAGGAATAAAGGAAGAATAAGGAACACATCTTACTGATAGAATAGAGCTATGATATCACTAACGATATATGTGATTTGTCATTCTCCAATGGCACATCGCACAATATTTATACAGAATCCTTTAAAAAGGAACAATTGGTTGTTACATGAAACCTTTCTTGACGAAGAAGAAAGCGGCTTAATTATATACGTCAGTTGTCATCGAGTTTGTGAAGCGGCCTGTATTCAACAATTTCACCTCTTCACTGAAAGAGATTTTCGGAGAAATGAACACATTCTTCTTCGACGTTTTTACTGTCCTCATTTTGTTTTGAATGATTCATTCTAAAGGCTTCTTTACACGAAAAACATGAATGCGTTCTGTTATTCGAAAGACTCTGAATCGTAATTTGTCCTCTGAAAATTATATCTGTGCCGCCTCATATTCTAAAACAGAAATCACAAATAAAGACCCCCCCCCACCTCCCAAATCGCTTATGCAATATCTACGCCTTATATACGTGGACACGTTAGCAGTTTCGTTGACTTCATGAAAGACGGTCACCGCTGGCATGGTTATGAAAAGTGAAGCAGATTCAAAATTAGTAAAGAATGTTTTTTTTTTTAAATGGAAACGTTTAGATTCTACGCAAACACGATCGGGGGGAAAAAAAGCGAGTTGAGAAGAAAAATAACGGGAAATAAGACAGCCTCCAAAACTAAAAAACAAAACAAAACAAAACAAAACAAAATGAAATGTTAATTTCGAGAGAACTAATTAAAACCGTTAGCTGGGATCGACTTTCTCTGAGCTGATTTCTAATGAATTGCTTTTTTCATTTAACTCTGTTTTGCCACGAGCCCACCCTCCTCTCTTGTTCAATGGAATTAGCTTTCTAGATGTGATGAAAATTTCTTAATGTATCAAATTCTCTTTAATCTCTTACTGTTTTTTTTTCTCGTCACTTTCAGATCTACTCTTGTTTTACTGGTTTATCGCTCATTGCCGTTTTTTTTTTAATCATTTTTCAGGGTTTTTTTTTCTCGATCTTCCCCCTTTGCGTGTATTTCCCCATTTTAAACAAAATTCTTCTTAATCACTTGACGATATCGTCTTTCTTTGATTCCGTTATTGACTTGTTTTATTTTCTTCTCTAAACAAACTCAAGAAAATAACCCGTAAAAATGCAGTCGGGTGTGAGCAGAGGCACTCACGGAGGCTAGGGTTGTGCTGTTTTCAATTCAGCAAGTCTGGATCTTTGCTAATAACAATTTGCCTCAAAGAAAGAAAACACGCGTCTCTCTCTCTCTCACTCACACACACACACACATACACACACACACAGATGATATGACGAAATGGAAAACTTTCAAATGAAAACAGCCAATAGTTCCGTTGCAAGTTGGTTTACAAGTGAAGGTATTTCATCTGCTGATGCAGGCTTTGAACAATAACAAGCTTTGTAAAATTTATTTCCAATAATCGGAATTGTATCAGGTGGCAGAAGGTTAATAATTCAAGGAACTGATTAGCAGTAGCATACTGTTCAATTACCGCCCCCTGACAATAATCACAGGCGGTACGACATTTGAAAGACTCCTCCTCTTCCCCTTTTTGCATTTGGCAGCGACAAGATGCTCTCTTCTCATTCTGTCGGCATGTAAGTACCTCAGATACACATACTGAAGGTTGATTTGAACACTTCATGACTTTAATTTCATCTCTCATTTTCCCTTTTGTAACATATCCGTTAAATATATTTATTAATATGTGTTCGATTAAATTATCCGCCAATATTGTTTGCGGGGCAAATGTACGAGGAGTCATTATATATTTACTGAAAAAATGCCGACACCTCGCAACAAAAGTAGTGATTCCCGCTACAGTATCTAATTCAGAACAGTCATCCTCTGATTACAAGAAAAATATTTCTTCAGTTGTATGATTTGTTTTTGATAATCATGTGTGAGTAGCATTAAGTTGGCCAGATTGTAAAACGACTTATATAAATTATTAATAAAAAAAGCAAACAGGTATGACTACTCAAACAATTGTATCCGATAAATATGCCATTGTTAGCAATATGAAATAATGTGGAAAACGATCTAAGACCTCTTGAAGAACTTTTGTTGATCGCTAATCATATATATATAAGTCAATATAATATAAATTATAATGAGGGATGACAATATTTAGTTTTAAATGTCACAATCTTATTAATATATCTATTAAAATACATGCTTCCAGTAAATTTAAACTATCATATATACTCGAGTCCATGATAAGGACATCATGGACCGAGCATATGAGCAACGATGAAGTTTTGAGGTGGATGCAAACAAGTAGAAAGCTTATACTTAACATTAGAAAGAGGCAGCTGAAATTTCTGGGACACGTTATGAGAAAGGAGGGCTTGGAGAATCTGATACTCACAGGTCGAATAAGGAGAAAGAGAGACAAGGAAAGGCAACGCATGACATACCTGGCGGGCTTAAGCAAGTGGATGACAGAACGTGGCCTAGGGGGAAGTAGCAAAGGGACAAAACTTATTGAGAGCTACAAGGGATAGGGAGAAGTGGAGGGCCATGATCGCCAACCCCCTGAAGGAACACGGCACATTAAAAAAAAGATATACTCAAGTATAGTGCAAGTTTTATGATCAGTTTCTACGCTAAAAATAGTGGGGTTGCACTATATACACAGGTAATTCTTTTTGATGACGTTAAAAATCACTATAAGCAGGTAATATTTTTCTGGAGAGGCTGAAATTCACGTGAAAGTATTTCAGGGGTCGCACTCCGCATGAAATCGTCTTATACACGAGTATATACGGTAATGAGAAATTTTAGAGTATAAATGAAATCCATTAATTCCTAAGGAATTAACTTTGTTTACTTTTTCGGCTACGACAATATAGCTAGCAGATATAATTTTCGCAAAGTCCTAACCTGATATATGTATTTCTTAAAATGAGTAATTGAAACTTGATTTGCTGTGACCGTTTCTCGTGGCCGAGTGGTTTCAAGCACACTGAACGTAAAGTTTGCTTTCCCAATGTAAGAGGAACGCAAGGGTTATCCGTGCCGAGAAGTACATTTCCTTTATTAAGACTTTCGATTGCCCAGGAAACCAAGGATATCTTCTCAAGCACGTCTATTGGCTAAACATATAGTTTATAGTCTTACGATATAAATTATTACTTAATGTCCATGGCTTAAAGCAGACTCTCCGACATTACTTTGCTGACTGTACAGATAGAATAAACTAAAAAAAAATGATTTTAAGAATGTCATAGACCAATTTGCTTCAGCGAAAACAAAGAAGGCTCAGCTGTAAATGTCTAGTAATAGAAATTGTGAATTGAAATGAGTATTTTGAGCTGATGGTAAACTTATCTAAAAGGTCGATGTCACAATGGCAGATGTTTGGACAGGAGCGCTGTTTTCAGTATTTTCCTGTTGCTATTAGAAGAAGAAGATATTCTGAGAAAATATTGCAAGAAAACGGGCATATTTGTAGGAAATATGATTTCCAAGGATGTCATACCAAAACCATACCAATGACTAATTTGATTTAAAATAAAAATACAAACACAAAAAAGAACAAAAGTTATAATAAACGATCAAGTTTGGGTTTGGGTTGATCTGTTTTTTTTTTTTACGGTATATCAACCTCAATGGATTATTTAATGCCTACAAGATTTTTACTGCTTGGAATATTTTTTCCAAAAATGTATTGCTGGTAATATTTTTTTTCACAAATGTATTGCAGGTAATATCTTTTTCCTTCAAAAATTCATTGCTGGTAATAATTTTTTACAAAAATGTATTGCAGGTAAATTGTTTTTCCTTCAAAAAAATTGCTGGTAATATTTTTTTCAAAAATGCATTGCTGGTAATAATTTTCTTCTTCAAAAATGTATTGCTGGTAATAATTTTTTTCTTCCAAAATGTATTTTGACCCCAGTTTGAGAGGTAACTATCTTCCCCTAGCTGGGACGTAACAAGTTCTACCACTTCGGGTCAAGGTAGATCTGGAAACACCAGCAATTAAGAGGTGACTCCATGCTTCTCAAAACCTCCTGATCAGAGGCCTTGCTGCCGGATGTAGTTTATCGTCATACCCAAGACGAAAATGACCAGGAAAACCCTTATTTACAATCAAATTCATAACATAATTGTCCTTGGCTAATCCATCAAATTGTGTCGAAACTGATCAGTATCTCAATGGACGACTGCTGAAGTACATCACGTACTTTAAGTAACACAGGGTCTTCTGTTAGATTAAGCGGGGTATAAATTACATGATCTCATGATTTGGCTTCCAAGACTAGATTTAAAGAAAATTAAGTTGGAAATAACACTTCTTATGGATATTTATTAGGCTTTACAGTGTGCAATATCAAATGGAAGGAATACGAAAGTAGGAAGATCATGTTGCGTCAGTTTTCCAAGTGTTATTTAGAAAATCGGGATTCCAAATTCTGACCATTACCTGAGTTGGAACAATGTTCCCTGTGGGTTGGGAGATTGCATTCTGTGTGTTTAAAACATAATACTTGAAATCCTAGCCCCTTCCTCTGATCGAACATAGACCTCTAGCACTTATGGAAACGCGTAATTATATTAACCACGTGGCACACACAACGTGCAACGATCTCAAAGGCAGGGTTGTTTTTTTAACTATCAAGTTAATCACATTTTCTGATCTATTTGTTTTAAAAAGTTAATATTTATTTATGGCATTTAAAATATCTGATTTAATAAGGTAAGGTTTAATACTCTGTGTAAGGAGAAAGGAAATAAAAAAGCGCTTCGCCAATTTTTAAATTCGTAAGTGCCTTGTAAATCAGTATTCAAAATTTTGGGTTTTACCTAGGCTCGAACACTGATAACCAGTACTGATAGGAAGTGTTTAGCTGTAACCTTAACGTTGATTTTTCAATACGTGATATTGAATAAAATATGTGCGATAAAAATATGGTGCTTTCTTTGATGTTTCCTGACAGCTTCTTTTTATTGAGGACATTGGATGGAGAGAGAGAGGATTAAAATTAGACCCCCCTGCCGCCATTTGCGTCCAACCTTAACAGACAAGTGCCTTCAGACCGCAGTTCCCGTCCCCCACTTACCGAATTGTTCCGATAAGCTTTCCACTTTGGTACCTGGATTGCATGAATTTAAACACTGCTAGATTGGCAATTAAGTCCCACGGCTTTACTGTTGAACTAGCTAGATGTGCTACGCTTATAGTTTCATTTCTCACATTTTTCGCCTGTAGAACTCTCTTCCGGTTTCTTGCTAGCTTGCCACCTAAAATCTTCAAAAATTTGAATGCAACACAAATGACCATCTTCTCTCTTCCTAAGAACAAGCTTAAAATTTATTTGTATCTATCTATGTTTGCTCGTATCTATCTATCTATCTATCTATCTATCTATCTATCTATGCTTCTTCAAAATATGCTGGACGAGCTGCATAAGACACAGATCGAAACCGGCTGAAAACAGGTACATTTCGTTATGCCTATCTAACAAATAATGAAGGATACTTAACATAAAAGTCATCATTCGATATCTCTGCTTTTACTTGAGCTCTAAATACTAAAGACTGGCACCGGTGAGGAATACACAACCATTTCAAGCGTCAAACAGGGCCCCTTGTGCTCTTATTAATACTAAATTAAAACATATTGTTCTAAATACGGGTGTTTGTCTGTGTGCTGGAAACATAAAATGATAATGAAGTGGAGTTAGCAAATAGAATAAGTTGAGGAGAATAGTGACAGCAGATGGCTGTAGTTGAAAATGGGACTAATTTCGATTTGATCACTTCCATTCTAGAAACCGCCAAGTGACGTGATCAAATATAGAGTATTTATTAAAAAAAATAAACGAGGCAATAAGCACATAGCTACTTGCTAAGTTGGATAGCTAGTCTTGCATTTACTTTATTTCAATCAAGCCTGCTTATATCATAATTTATATTAAAAGGTCGTGCAGATGATACCTGCCTAAATCAAAAGAAGTAAAACGCAAATCATCTATCTATCTATCTATCTATCTATCTATCTATCTATCTATCTATCTATCTATCTATCTATCTATCTATGTTCATATCTATCTATCTATCTATCTATCTATGTCTGTTCATATCTATCTATCTATCTATCTATCTATCTATCTATCTATCTATCTATGTCTGTTCATATCTATCTATCTATTTATCTATGTTCATATCTATCTATCTATCTATTTATTTATCTATGTCTGTTCATATCTATCTATCTATCTATCTATCTATCTATGTCTGTTCATATCTATCTATCTATGTTCATATCTATCTATCTATCTATCTATGTTCATATCTATCTATCTATGTCTGTTCATATCTATCTATCTATTTATCTATGTTCATATCTATCTATCTATCTATCTATCTATCTATCTATCTGTCTGTTCCTATATATCCACCAATCTGTTTGTTTCAATCTATTTATGTATATTTGTTCATATCTATCTGTGTGTGTTTGTTCCTATCTATCTATCTATCTATCTATCTATCTATCTATCTATCTAAACGTCATGGCTCGTCATCAACTTCGATGCGCTGGACAACTTGACCGAATGCCACATATACGCCTTGCTGAGGACATAAATCACTTGGGAGACGGAAACTGCAGAAAGAACCAATTGGAGAAGAGCAGTCAAAGAAAAAACAAAATCCTTCGAAATGATAAAATAGAAGAGGTGAAGAGGCGCGCAAAGAAAAGCCAGTGCTCTGCATCCCCTGAACGTTCCTACTGTATCAGGCGTAAATCCTCCTACCTTACAGTTGTAGAGTAGCTAGCACACCTTCAGCACTCTACCAGATGGACTGGCTCATAGCCTTAAATAGACTACGACTAAAGACTTCAACAGTTGATTAATAAGGTGATACTAAGCTGATTAATATTCGGACTGATCTTCGTTTGTTTATGCAGCATTTGACCTTCTATTCCTTCTAAGTTGTCTTGTTAATTGTTTTTGCGTTCTTTGTATGACGATAAACTACATCCTTGTCCTGGGTATGACGATAAACTACGTCCAACAGCAAGGCCTCTGATAATACGTTTTTAAAAAAAATTAATGTTGCCAGCTGTACGTTTTTGAAAAAAATAATGTTGCCACCTGTACATTTTGAAGTATTAACAGAAATAGATTTTTGACAAAACAAAAATATTACCAGGGAAAAAAATGACACATTGAGGTGTTGATATGCCGTAAAACAAAACAAACCAAACCTTAATTGTTTTGTAACTTATTGTTCTGTGTTTTTTGTATGTATCCGTTAGCACTGGATACTGGTGCTGAATAAATATATTAAGCACTCACTCTTCTCTGGGTATCATTCAGCGCGACGATACAACAGTTACCATGCGGTGGCCGAAGACGTCTCTTCCGATGCAGCGTAGGACTCATCTCACACAGAAGGAAATGTCAATAAGCACCCTAAAACTCGGCAACGACTTCCACCAACGAAGATAAACAGTGTCGTCGCTGTATTGTATTTTTTATAAGACGCGTATATTGAACGCTTCTTAAGCACGACTGATTAGAACAGAACATGAAGAAACTGGTCTATGCGCAAACATATGAAGCATTTGAAAAAAATGAAGCTATTTTTTGTTTGGTATATCATTTGAATGGGATGTGTTTTGTTCGAAACATAGTCAGACATTAAAGAGAACAGCTTTACTTTATGACCGCATTTGCCATGGGAAAAATCCATCCTTCAAGACGAATGGTATAATTGAGTCAGAAGACAACGCTGGAAGATTCCGAAATTAAAACAATAAACAAACACTACAAGCCAAATCTCTAAAACCGTCGCAATGGTAATCATAGCAGCTAAGCATCTCTTCTCAGCAACTTACAAACAAAACCCGGACCAGTGCGAACGGAGCGAAACATAAAATGGCGTATTAAATTCATCACATGCAATTTTATGCAGATTAAAGTAATATGAAGATCGATCAAATGCAGGCGTATTTAGATTGATAATTTAATTCTACTTGAAGGCCTTTATTCTTTCTTGTTCAGCTCAGAGAAAGAGAGTGTGCCTCGTGGCTTGCATAGGTTTTACTTCGTCATTAGTGTCAGTGCTTAGTGTTCAAACACAGATAAAAGCTAGGATATTGAATGATCGTTTTCAAGAAATGCTGATCCTCTCTACTTAGGAGAAAACATGAATCCGTCTCTTCTTCTCTCTAGCTGTGAGTTAAATAGCAGGGCAGACTGAACCCTCAAGCCTTGGTTGGTAACTAGTCGAGAAGAGGTAACTCTGAAGTATAAACTCTGGAGAAGGCGAGAGGAAACTACTCCACAATCTTTCCCACGTGAAAAGATGTGGAGACAAAAGAAATAGACAAAAAATGAATAAATTATTCCTTTACACCTTTGATATTCTAAAATGGGTTCAGCATTATTTTTTGCCAGCAATTATGGCAAAGTGCAGTTTAGAGATATTAAAGGAAAGTAGCTGTGGAGAGCCATGATTGGCCACATTCTGAAAGGATATTGTATTTAAGGAGAAAGAGATTGCATATTTTCAAGCGTGATGGAAAGTGACTATGTTATAAAAATCATTATTCGAAACATGATCTGAACTGTAACAAAATTATCATCGACGTTGCCTGCAAAAGTACGTTGAAGTCATTTTTCTTTCACAGAATTTATAAGAAGGTAACATATTGAAGAAAGAGTATGTTAATCAATCAATCAATCTTATATATATATATATATATATATATATATATATATATATATATATTTATACACACACATATATATATATATGAAATAAAAGTCTGGGAATGTTATATGTAGGACTAAAATGTACAATGGGTATAGATAACTTGCTCCAGGCAGATCGATATCTCTATAAGTCGATAGAGGAATAGATCGATTGGTCGATAGACAGACGTTAAGAAGATACAGACACTTATGAAGGTATTTCTGTTTATTAATATTTTCCAGTAGAATATATTTGAACCTCTAAGATTTATGTAAGTCATATAATGAATAGACAAGTGTCATACAATAATCATCACATCAGCAAGAAATCCTCGTCATGGCTGACCCAACACAGAAAACTGATATATTTAAATCAATAATGACTTAGTCATATTTCTGGTTTTTATTTTGCGAAAATCGAAACGTTTTCAGATAGTTCCTCATATGTGACCATTTTTAACAATATCTCTTCCTTTTTGACCCCTATATTACCGAGATTCTAAACTGTTAATAAACCTCTACTTATACTTAACATCAGAAAGAGATCATTGAAATTTCCAAGCAATATAATGAAAAGCATTCAATATATACATGTCTTATTAAAAAAAAGTGCGGCGATAGCACGAAGGACAAGAGCTGTTTATATGCCGTTTGAAACAAAGAAGAGAGCACTGAACTCTTATGTTATATCTGTCCTCGTATTAGGCAGTGAAAGTTGGACAATCTAAATGAAGAAGAGATTTGAAGCTAAGGAAATGTGGTTCTACAGAAGGATGCTGCGAATATCATGGACTGAACATGTGAATCAATCTCCTCACAGATGAAGAAGAGACTTAAAGCAACACAAATTTGGATCGATAGAAGGATGCAGCGAAAATCGTAGACTGAACATGTGAATCAGTCTCTTCAGAGATGAAGAATAGACTTAAAGCAACACAAATGTGTTTCTATATAAGGATGCTGGGAATACCATAGACTGAACAGGTGAACAACGACGAAACTTTCGAGGAAATGGAATCAAAAAGGACATTTAAACTTAACATCAGAAATAGATAGTTGGAAATTCTAGGGAACATAATGTAAAAAGAGAACTTAGAAAATTTGAACACCTCCACAGCAAGGACACACCGTGCAACTTACTTAGTAGCAAACATCACATATTACACTATTTACACTATTTATATCGTTCGAACTATTGTACTCATCTTTATTGCCATATTCACGTCGTTTCGGCCGTTGTACGCTCCGGTTTTCTTTATGTGATATACGTTGGAATTTTGAACCAAACACTTTACTTCGTTCACCGGGGTAGATTGTTCTAGTTACACGTGTTATGCCTTTTCTGGACATCTCAGTTTCAGTTATTTCACTTACATATTGAGGGAAAAGGGAGATCACCGCTCCTTGTGGGATGAGGTTGAAATAATAAGCAGAGATCATTACGAGAAAATATGAAAACTTAAGGAATCAGCGCATATGTTAAGCCACAAAAATCTCTTAAGCTGGCCAAGCGTAGGCATGAATACAATATGGGAACTTGTAATATAGACTGCTAAAGAAAACAACAATAACAACAAGTTGTAATATGATCTCTGGTAAAAAATGAAACTCAGACATTAGTGGACTAGACCCAAAGAGTTGTCAGTTCAATATCTGGCCACAGCAGAGGTGTACAAAAACTTGGAGATTTGAGTTACTAAAGGGAAATAAGTGAAACTGAGATATCCAGAAAAGGCATGGCACGTGGAACTAGAATAATCCACCTCGGTGGACGAAATAAAGGGGTCGGTTCGAAATATGGAATACAAAAGAGGGTGAAGATGCTTCATTCGCTAGATAACAGTTGTAGCATAGCAAAAGACGATAATGGGTATGCCCCCATTCACATAAATAAAGTAGTAAATACTATATGTTGGTCTGCAGTTGGAGATTTGTCTCCAGCTGTCCTGGTCAAACTCTCCGCCTCCGGGTAGAGAGCATCCCCAGACGAGGCTATATCGAAGGGCAGAGTCTCGTCTCGGGAAACAGCTACCCGATCCCGTTTTATACGGGGTCTACGGGGAATGTTTGGCCGAGCCTACGGGCTTGGATACCCTATATTAAATTCGGCCTTGCGCCACAAGTGAATTCCACAATGAATCTTTAACTGCAGGATATATACCAACCGCCCTACGCGGTCAGTATATATCCTGCTGTTGGAGATTGATTGCGGAATTCACTTGATTCCCTTCTAGCAGTTGACTATTTCTCTACACGCCGCAAGTGAATCTTATATGTGTTGTTCTTGTCGTAAGTATTATCGTTCATTACCAATCTCCGTGTGACTATTCTGTTCAGTAACCTTCCCTAGGTTACAAAAGTAACAGTTTAAAATAACTTCTGTTCTTTTCAGTAATTATTTAGTACGATTATGGTATAACTATCGCCCCTTTTGGGATCAAGAGGCATGTGTATGTCAGCTTTTAGTTTCATAGAATCAGTAGTTTAAGTCATTCTTGGAGTAGGACACACACACATATATACACAGATGATCAGATATTTCAGTTTATTTAAGAGATCAAATAAAACACCTTTCTTTTTGCTGTTTTTCTGTCTTTCTTCCTTTCTCTCTTTTTATCTCTACGTCTTTTATTTATTTTTATTTATTGTTACTTTTATCTTTTGACTTTTTTTTTCCCAAGCAAAGGAGTTAAATTTCCCAGGGGAAATATCCATAACAACTCTATCACTTACGTATTCTTGTCCGTTGTTATCGAGACACAGTCCAACAGCTTCCCCCTATTCCAAACGGCTCTTCACAGCGCACACCGACACAAACAAACTCGCCCCCTGCTGTCAAAGACCCATCAACAAATGTAACCAATGGCTTAATAAGAACAACAGCTGAACAAATAAAAAATCGCAGTGAAAATCTTTTCACCTCCCTCCTACACCAGACACCACAGATCTGTAGGTTTTACTTTGCTGTTGGGCAGAACAGTGGTCTTGTGGAGAGGACACCTGCGAGCACAGACAAGAAAATAGTTTTTGAATCTGGTAACGCAGAAAATGAATATAATTCTATCAGAGCGAGCAATACAAATGCAAAAGGACATAAAAGTATGTTTCATAGAATACTCAAAAGCATTAGAAAAGTTACGAGAGAAAAAAAAACTATTTAACCTTTTAGAAAAACTTGATTTATTTGGAAAAGACATTAGAACAATTTCGAAAATTTACTGGGAACAAAAAGTCAGCACACGGACAGAAAATGAACTATACAAGTCCACAAAAATAGAAATGAGCTTAAGACAAGGATGCGTCTTCTCGCCGGACTTATTCAAACTGCACAACGAGGCGATCTTAAGTGAATGACAACTCCTATTATGATCTTATATTGGTGGGTACAATCTTAAAATACGTAAAATATATAGATGAGGCCATATTAATGGCAGAACAAAACAAAAAAAAACTGCTTTAAAACCTGAACACGGTAATATAGCAAAACAGGAAGAACGGACTAGCTATTAAACGTAGCATAGTTTAAGCTGTCTTTTCGTTTCTTTTCTTTCAGTTAACATAGCTAGGGGATCAGAAATGTAGTTCTACAGAAGGATGCTGAGGATACCATGAACCAAACATGGGATCAATGGCAAAATTATGGAGAAAATGGAAACAAAAAGGAAACTAATACGTAACATCAAGAAGAGACGGTTGAGGTTTCTGGGATACATAACGAGGAAGGAGGGATTGGAAAATCTGATACTCACAGGGCAAATAGAAAGCAAGAGGGACAGAGGAAAATAAAAAAAAAATAAAGAAAAGCATAACCTACTCAGTGCGCCTGAGTAAACAGATGAAGAGACAGAGTTTAGGAGATATCATAACAAGAAAAAATATATTAAAAACTACATGCAATTTTGGAGAGTCATGATAGAATATTTAGTGATGAAGATAATCTTCCCTGTGTTAATTGGAAAAACAATCAATTTAAAAATATATTTTAAAAAATGACAACATAATTTCACGCATGTCTAAGAATTAGAGACTATTTACAGAGATGCCTCAGCTAAATTACTGTCACGAAGGGGAAACGCGAGAGAGAATTTTCCTGAATGTCTCATATCAGAACATAAGACGGGGCCATTAGAAACGTTTCTCTTTTGATAGTTCAAGTGCCACCATTTTTTAATTTTAAAAATTCTCTTCCCCATTCCTTAGAATCAGGTAGGTGTCCATAATATTTCAGTCAGGCCAATATCAATTCATCCTGTCACCCGGCGAACACATAAGATTCGTGTGAATATATTCTTCTGGATAAGGCAAAAAACAGAAATTGTTTTTTTAAGTAATATTTTTAGATTTTATCTTATGTCAGAAAGAATAATAGTTGTCTACATCTGATCATATCCAAATGTTTGTCTCGAACGGATAAAAATATTTATATTGTTAAACGTATCACAAATTCTACAGACAGTAAACAACAATAATAATCATAATAATAGTAAACAAATGCTATTAATCGGAAACGGATAATGAAAAGTATTGGGAGTTAGAATAAGGACAGAAAGCTTTTACACAATAAATGCTTATTTATTCAATAGATCTCCTTCTTGTCGATCCACAGCAGAATAAGTACAGCATTACAAATTTTACAAGCATATGAATAAACTGACTGTAAGGGGTTAAAAAGATTGCATCGTGACAGACACTTGTTCGGCCTGTCGTCAAACGCAACATATCAGATTTTACAAGCATATGAATATACTGACTGTAAGAGGTTAAACGCATTGCATCGTGACAGTTTTTTGTTTGGTCTGTCGACAAACCAGATTTTAAAAGCATATGAATATACTGACTCTAAGAGATTAAAAAGATTGCATAATGACAGTCTTTTATTTGGCCTGTTGTAAAGCACACCATAACCGATTTTATAAGCATATGAATATATTGACTGTAAGAGGTTAACTGTATTGCCTCGTGACAGTCTTTTGTTTGGCCAGTCGACAATCTCAACATCTCAGATTTTACAAGCATATGAATATATTGATTGTGAGAGGTAAAAATGATTGCATCGTGACTCACTTGTTCGGCCTGTCGACAAATTTAACATATCATATTTTACAAGCATAGGAATATACTGACTGTTAGGGGTTTAAAAGGATTGCATCGGGACAGTCACCTTTTCTACCTATCGTCAAACTCAACATATTTTACAAGCAAGATTTTACAACCATATGAGTATATTGACTGTAAGGTGTTAAAAGGATTGCATCATGAGAGTCACTTGTTCGGCCTGTCGTCAAGATATAGGACAAAATGTTACACTTTCCATGAACAAACTTAGATAAATAGACAGAAATAAAGGAATAGAATAAAGTAAAAAGAGAAATGCATTGAGTTTAAGAAGAAAAACATGGCAAAAAGAAATAAATGGATCCATCGACTTGCCTCGGCTTAGTTTAATAGCTAGCGAGGTTAACTAAAACTATTGAACTATCCTCATTGGGAACTCCATACAAAGATTCGACATTAAATAACCTACATAGGTTGACATGTCTTAAAATCAACCACCCTAAACTTATAAATCACTTGATAAATCAATAAAAGACTGGAATAGATAGATATACAAGTAGAGAAATAGATTGACAAGATAATATTAAAAATGGGTACCATATATATATATATAATGTGTAAAAGCAAAATTGTCCAAATCGTGTAACAGCAAAAATGTTCAATTGTTAGATTAAGCTCTGAAACGTTTTATCTTAGAAGTTATTAGAGGTCTCATACTGGAATTCTCCGAGGTTTTTATAACACTATTGGATTCTCCATTGAGCAATAAGAACGTATAGTTACTCCCTAAACTTAACAGAATAATCGTGATGAAATCGATCATAAACGAAAATGACATGTTCATCATTAATTAATCATAGCTAAGGATCAATAAGCTCATATAAAGATTGAAATAATATTATATATATATATATATATATATATATTCCAGGATCATTTTTTCAACTTATTCAAGATGATCTTCCCTCTCTAACCTTCTAACTTTCTGTCTTGGGGTAACAAGGTGCCACTTAGTTTTCACGTACGAATTCATTTTCAAGTCTTTTTTCACTAGTCTTTGGATTGTCATAGCTGAAACTCCTCTCTCACGTGCCAAACTTCTTATGGATTGAGTTGGATTTTTTTCTAATTGATCTCTTTAACTCTAAGCTGAAATGATGATCCCTCTTCTTGTTGTGACCTCCTGATCCAGTTTTCTCTCTACTGTTTTCTCTTTTTAAAACTTATTCACCGTTCTCATGATGGTTCTTGAATGGAAGCCAGAGTATGAATGTTGGTACCATTACCGATGGCCTAAATGATCTTTTTCCTTTCGCCACTCTGAAGACAGGGGGTCTAACACAAAACGATTTTAACCTGTTCTCTTTTTAGCTAAATAATTTACAAGCGTTTTTTAGTAATTCTTACGAAAAATGGTGTCAAGATAGCTAAACGTCTCATCTGATAATCTGTAAAAACGAAACTCAATTAGTTTAATAGTTTTGGAGATATTAAACATTTTGTGGGATAGATAATTATGCTGTTACACCCGGTATATATATTTGTGTGTGTATTGTTTAAAATTTGCTACATTTATAGGGGAATAATACTCAGTATTGTGTGTAGAGTATATATATATATATATATATATATATATATAAAGTTTAAACCAAAGAAGTTATGAAAAAAAAGTACACACAATCACAAGTGCAGGATTATGAAGAAGCATTATTAAAAAAAAAATCAAAACTGTCTTTCCCCTTCCTCAATTAAAGAAAATGTGTTCTCTAGCAACCCTGCTTTGTAGACAAACCTTACCAGAGAGCACATCCTCTTTTTTTTAAAACCATTTCACCCCAAGCAAGACGGGATGCCACTAGTACGTAAAGGGTTTCAGAGTTGAAGCGAGAGTAAAGAGGCGTGATGGAGAATAGGGTGAAGAGAAGGGCAGGGAATAGTTCAAGGCATCTCGAGATGTCGATTGACATTACATTTGAATAGTTGGAGATTATAGCTATCAGGGAAGCAAGTAGGAAGAAGAGAGTTCCACAGACAGGAAGTGCAAGACATGAAGAATGAAAGGGTTTTCGACCGTGATGCCAGCCTAGTAGATGTTTGTTTCATGCAGTCTGGGAACTAGCGAAAAAGCTCGTCGTTATCAAGAAAGTATATTTGTTTTAAAGACAAATTTCGACAGCAACGTCTTTGAAAGCTGACTGAAGACGACCAACCACATTGCTTATCCGTCTCTGGATCTTAACTGAGGACCTTAAATAAACAAAAATTTTTTAATTTGACCATATATGGCAGCAGTATTCCATGCAAATTTCAACAATCTTGAATGCGCAGGCTTGTAGGCTTAATTTACAGCATTGAAAAAAATTATAGTAAAACTAAAAGAACGTTTAGAGTTATAAAGAATACCTTTTGATTAAAAATGAAACAAAAAAATATATATATATATATATATATATATATATATATATATATATATATATATATATATATATATGGGGAATAATTTTATATTTTTGAATTTATTGTGACATTTTCCTTCATCGACTAAATTTTTTTCGAAAGTTACGACTACAAAATGTTACGAACGAAAAAAGCGGATTTTAGAATTTTTAAAATTTAAAAAAAAAATTTTCCCAAACCCAATCTTTTTTTTTCTAAAATCCGCCGAACCCCTGTTCGTGCGCATGTGTAAAAGTAACAGCATCAAAAAATGCAAATTTAGTCCGATGAAGTCCTGAAGTTTTTAATGATCACAAGTAAACTGTGGACTGTCATCTTTTTTACTTTGAATAAATTTCCCCATTGGAATACTTTTCTTGATATATAAAAATATAT